AAATAAGAAAGAATATTTAAAAATAATGGGGATAATATGAAGACTTGTAATACATTTCTCTGACCTTTTCCCTAAGCTTTTATTTTTTGCTAAGCATAAATGCAGAAAGAATAGTCTTGTAATTCTTTAAAATTAGAGTTAGAAAACAGGTATACCTTGTTACTCTTTATCTGTATTTTCTTCCCTAGAGACAATTACACTCCTGTAATTCTTTTTTTTGTTTGTTTGTTTTTGTTTTTTTGGTACCAGGGATTGAACTCAGGTCCTTGTGCTTGTGCAGCAGGCAGCGAAACCACTGAGCTAAATCCCCAGCCCCAGACTCCCCTGATTCTAATGGGACTAATGAGGTAAGGTCATTATATAAAAAGACTTCTAGGATTCTGTTGTTATTTACAGGTAGATAAGAATAAAGGACGGTTCCTAGCAAATAAAATGACAAAGAACACCGTGACAGTCTGGAATAAATAACATTTATTTGTCCAATTCACACCTACTAGTGATTTAGGTTCAAATAATTTGCTATTATAAAGAATGCTTCAGTAAATATCTTTGTGATATAATTTTGCACATTTATGTACATCAGTGTTTAAGACAAATTTCAGGAAATGAAATACCGAGGAAATTTGAATGAGATGAATATTTTAAAATTTACAGTGGCAAAGTTTAGATCAATCTGTGTTCTCATAGTGAATGAGGGTGTGTATCTGCAAACTGAGCAACATGGAACATTAGCAGTTTTTTAAGTCTTTAACTGGCAAATGTGTCTTGGTGAAGGTAAAATATATGTTGTTTTAATAAGATGAATATTAGTGATTAAGAACTATGAAGCATATTTATTGCAATGCTGAAATACTATATCTCAATAAAAGCAGCCCCTCCAACTATTTGGTTCTCCTGTTCCCAGACTAGTGGATTCAAACTACTCTTGATAAGACCAGATTTCCATTGGAAATCATAAATAATTCATAAATCAGATGCTTACACACTAGACATGCAGTCAGTCTCTCTTCTCTCATACATGTTCCTTGTTTCAATCACCTTGTATTTCAGGGTGCTTATATTTCTCACTAATTTATTCACTCCTTTTGAGGCAGAAATTATGTGTTGATTATCTTTATACTTGACCTAAACCCAGTGTCAAGTGCAAAGGTTGATATATATTTTATTTTGTGTTGTGAGCTGACCGACTGTCTCCTGCCAGTGGATTTCTCTGAGGCGATGAGTTATTAGCCCATCCCCTAACCCAGCTGTATGTCAGGCAAGAGCCCTTTGTTTCTGGACCACCATTTTTCTATCCACAGAATCAGGGAGTTTAACTAGTTGTAACTAAAATTTATTTTTTAAAAAATCAAGATTTTACAATACTTTCCTTTTTATTATATATAGAACAATTTTTGTGCATCTTAAAAAATAGAATTTTAATAACATGTGGTATAGTTGCATGTTTTTATCTAACAAATCTGCAGAATGTTTCCTTTCAAATGTGGCCTTACAAAATGGCATAATTTAGACAGTTGTCACCTCTTGCAGTGTGTTAGCCCCATCTAGTGAATGATTAATGAATTCTCAAAAACTAATAGCAGATGATCATTTTTTAAGCTATTACTGAATCATGTCATCTTGTTTATAGTCTTTGAGCCTTTACTACAGGAGATAATTGAAAATATGCGACTGATTTCCTTTTAAAAATTATTACAACGAAAGACTTATGGCCATTAATCCTCCTCAAAAGACCCTCTCTTTCTTCAAACACACTTATCTCATTGTTCTTGCCACTTTCTGAAGCAACTCTAAAAGTTCTCTTTCGTGAGTAACTTTAGAAGTGTGATTAAAACTATAGTGACTTGTTCTGTGGCATGCCATCCAAAGGAAAGACAGCTGGTAAAAAAATTATATTGTGTCCTCATCCACCAGATCTGGCACCATGCAACTTCTGGCTTTTCCTCCAAATCAAAATTATCATGAAAGCTAAACACTTTGAACTTATTGAGGACATGAGAGTGTATCTAAAGACTCTCATGAGAAAGGACTTTTCTACTATGCAAAAGTTTGAGAAATGTAGATTTTAGCTTTCTGCATACTAAATGAAGTTTAGAATGGATGCTGAATGATGGTTTACTATGTTTACCACACAGAAATCTCAAAAATAGCCAGGCAGGGTGGTGCATACCTGTAATCACAGCACTTGGGAGGCTGGGACAGGAGGATCACTGTGAGTGAGAGGCCAGCCTGGGCTACACAGTGAGTTCAAGAGCGGCCTAAACTACACAGCGAGACCCTGTCTCAAAAAAAAAAAAAAATCTCAAAAATATATTTTGTTCATTCTAATCATTGGTACATTTTAGCTATACAATATAATGACATTCATCATTGGAAATCTGCACCTTTACATAGTCTCTCTTGCTTCTTATTTTTCACCCTTGCCCAGCCCTCCCTTCAACCCCTCCAGTCCTCCCTATTTACAAAGATTTTGTTCCTATTTTTCCATTATCTCATATTAATCCCATTCCCTTCTATCCTTTCCCCTAGCTCTCCCACTTCCTTCCCCGTTGCCCCTTTTCTTCCTATTTCACATTACCTATTATACATTTAGTCCTTATTTACACTTTCATTTTCTCACACCAGAGAAACTATT